TTTTCTTTGTTTAAATTTAAAAACCACCCATGAGTGAGTACATGTGATAATTGTCTTTCTGTGTCTGGGTTACCTCACTCAAAATAATGTTTTCTAGCTCTATCCATTTTCCTGCAAAAAACAAACAAACAAAAAAACAACAACAACAACAAAAAAAAAACCTAGGACTTGATGTACGCCTGTAATCCCAAAACTCAGGAAGTTGAAACAGGAAGATTACATAGCCTGGGCTACAGGAGATTCAGTTTCAAAAACCAACTCCACCCCTGGGCAGTGGTGGTACATGCCTTTAATTCCAGCACTTGGGAGGGGCAGATGCAGGAGTATCTTTGTGAGTTTGAGGCCAGCATGGTCTACCAAGAAAGCTCCAGACAGCCAGAGCCACATAGTGACACCCTGTCTCAAAAAAAAAACCAAACCAAACCAAAACAACAACAAAAACCAGACACCAGCCTCCTACCCCAGCCTCTCCCAACCCCAAGTCTTTTCTCTTTGTAAGTTTATTCTTTTGAGTATTTCGTTATGGCAACAGAAAGCTGGCCCCGTTAACCCCATTCACAAGGTCTCCATCCTCACGGCCTAGCTACCTCACCAAGGCTTCCCCTCCCCAGATCTAATAGTTAAAATTTGTTGGATGTTTGTTTGAGTCAGAGTTTTACGTAGCAGGTCTTCAATGAACTCTCTAAGTTACCAAGGATGGCCTTGAACCTGACCCTCCTGCCTCACCTGCTGGGATGAATTGGCAAAAGCTAGCTATCACGTCCAGCGGGCAGTTGGAATTTCAGAACATGAATTTGGGGAGGACACAGTCAGTCCCTGAGAGCCACATTTGGTAAGAACGAGACTGGAAGTTCAGGAGAACCAGAGATTCAGTCCTGTTACCTCTCTCTCCCCCACCATCTAGATGTCTAGGAGCCCCACTTCCCCTGGCCTTTGAGGCAAACTAGAGCTGATGAGGATGACTGAGGTAGAAGGAGCAGCTATGGGCTCTGTCCGGGCTTCACCCTGACTGCTGTGTGATCTTGGACCGGCCACACAGAACCACACAGTACCACACACACAGTGGGCTGCTCTTGTGGTGAGGAGTTTAGCCAGGCTGCTCTTGGGGTAGAGGGAGGAGGATGGAGCCCCAGGGTCAAGACCCATCTCCCTCTGCCTGCGTTGACAGGACCTGTGCAGCCTGTCTTTGTTCAGAGGGGCTTTCTGGGTTTGCCCTGATTTCTGCGCCAGCTCAGCTGGGTGTCCTGTTTCAACTCTGTCCCAGCCAGGAACAATGAACCAGTCACTTGTTGGACCAAGCCCTGTCCCCAGGGTCTCCGCCCACTGTGTTGGACCATTGTCAGCAATGGAGTCAAAAAAGAACTTTCCACTCACAACACAATGATTCCCCCTAGCCCATTGTCCAGCAGTGACGTGGGCGATCTGCCCATCCTTGGGGCCCCCTACCCTGCTCCTCACCTCACACTGACATAATTTCCTGGGCTGTTGACACCTGATGGCTACAAAGCAGCATAAACAGCCCTCCTTGTTTGGCTGTTCCAGAGGACTGCAGGCCCAGAGAGGGTTTATTTCAACTCAGAGTAAAGGGTTTCCATTCCACAATCGGTTTATCCTGTGGCTTCAGGCAACCTGAGAAGCCTAAGTCTGATCACTGGGCCCATGGTGGAAAGAGAGAACCAGGCTCAGTCTGCTGTCCTCAGACCTCCACACGGCACCACGGTGCACATGGTGTCCCAACACACTCCAACAAAATGATCCTAAGAACTGTTAGATGGGGGCCTGGAGAGCCAAGGTTACACAGAGAAACCCTGTATAGGGCAACAAAGCGTAGGGGGGCACTCTCATCTCTTTGTGTCATGTGAGGGTACCACAGGAAGTTGGTGTGCTGTAACTAGGAACAACGCAGTCATGTGACCTCAAACTGCCAGCTCCCAGATTGATGAGAAATCACTGGCCACTGTGGGTAATCCATTGAGCTCACAGCATTTGCTGCAGTAGCTTCAGAAAGACCATAGCTTGGGTTGCAGAGCCAGCTCGGTGGTTAAAAACACTTGTTTCTCTTGCAGAGGACTCAAACTTAGTTCCCAGCACCCATGTGGTGGCTCACAGTCATCCCTCGCTCCAGTTTCAGGGGATCTGACCCCCTCCTCTGACCTCTGCAGACATTGAGCACATGTAGTGCACACACGTGTGGCAGTGTGTGGTGCTGTGTGGCAGTGTGTGGTGCTGTGTGGTACTGTGTGGCAGTGTGTGGCGCTGTGTGGTACTGTGTGGTGCTGTGTGGCACTGTGTGGCGCTGTGTGGTACTGTGTGGCACTGTGTGGTGCTGTGTGGCACTGTGTGGTGCTGTGTGGCACTGTGTGGTGCTGTGTGGTATTGTGTGGTGCTGTGTGGTATTGTGTGGCAGTGTGTGGTACTATGTGGCGCTGTGTGGTATTGTGTGGCAGTGTGTGGTACTGTGTGGCAGTGTGTGGTACTGTGTGGCACTGTGTGGTGCTGTGTGGTAGTGTGGCACTGTGTGGCACTGTGTGGAGCCCCTTCACCTTTTGGTGGCCTTGGCATCCTTAGAGAAGAGCAACTGTGCCTTAACGATCTGGGGCCCTGGTGTCTTGACGAAAGAACCAGAACCCAGAAGTAATACCTCCAGACTTGCCAGGAGGGAAGCTCCAGGTCGTACGGCATTCGTTACATTCCATGACCCATCTCTAGGTCAGTTCTTCCATTCTGGATCTCAGAACACGTGATTGAATGGAGACATGGCCCTAGACTAGCATGGTGGGGCACAAGCAGTCAGGCATATACAGCCAAGCCTACACTGTGTGGGTGGAGGCTCTCTCCTCCACCCCCGCCTCACTATCTGCTCTTCCCCCTCTCAGTGGCCATTTTAAGGCAAGGGTCTGGAAGCACACATAGGCCTGTGCACTAGAGGCTACCCAGTGCCAGGCAGGGAGGAATTGAATCGCACTTTCCCCTAGATGGACTTACATCCTTTCTTTCACAGCCTGTGGGGTAGGAATTTTGGTCTCAGGATTTCTGAGCAAAAGGGACCCAGGCACTTGCTGACTGAACTCTGGGAAGGCTGGGTTCAAGGGCTTACCTCATGTCCCTGCACTGTGCGTGTGAAGCTTTTTCTGTGTGGCAGACGCTGGATTAAGTGGTGTGTGTGTGTGTGTGTGTGTGTGTGTGTGTGTACCCAGGTAAGAGCCTGTGTGGGCAGTTGTATCTCATTGAGATGACTAAGTGAGGTGCTATGAGATGGAGCAATTGGTCCAAGGGACTATGTTGGAAGATTAGGTGTGACCTTCAAACCAAACCTGGAAGCTGCTCCCCTTCCCACTACACTGACTGTCTGGGCCTGAGTCAGGAGAAAGAGCACTGATTGACTCTCCTGCCCTGTGACATGTGGGACCTCTGGGGATCCGAACTTTTTCTTGACTCAGTCACCCATTGGCTATATTGCCTGGAATTCATCTAATTGCTGGCTCCTGCCTCGTCTGCTGCTAAGCGGCACTGATAATATCTACCTCACAGACTGGCTGTGAAGGATAAATAAGTCATGTGTGAGTCTCGCTCGGTGCCTGAGACACAGCTACCACATGGGCTCTAGACCCTATGACCCATTCTAAACAGACCAGTCCAAATCTGCCACGATGATTGTAGCACAGGGCTGGCATGGGCTGGACACGCATCAACGCTGGAACAATGAGACATGTTGTCTGTGATCTTTTCTGATCTCGCAGGTCCGAGGGCTCATGCCCGGTCACATGGTGTTCACTGAGAACAGCAGCTATAGAGACCAGCATGCATTCAGCCTTTTTATTCAGCTTGTACCCTCCTAGTTCTTCTGTGTTAAGTCCCTGGTCGCAATTCTCCAGCTCTGGGAGGAGGAGCTGGGCAGTACAAGGGATGCAGGACATTCACGAAGTCACTGACCTATTCTGGAGGGTGGCACAGCAACAGGAACGGCCCGAGCCCCTGCCCGACGCCCAGGAACCACACTGGCCTACCCACTGGCCTTGGACAGGCTCCCTCCCCCTCTGGTTTTGAGTCTGCAGCTGGGATTTTGTCTAGTGGCTGGGTGTCTCCTGTGCCCTTTCGCAGTGGCCTCCAGGAGCCAGCAGCCCTAGGACACATTATCAGGGTAGGAAGTGGGCAGAGAGGCCCAGAGGGTAAGAAGAGATATTTTGAGGATAGACAGGTCACCTCACGTCATTGCTGGACAATGGTCTGGGGTTGATGGAAAATCTTGGTCTTAACTTGGGCTGAAAATAGCACGAGGCAGAAGGGTCAGGAATCTTACCCACCAGGCAAGTGACCTGGTCCTGGGCAACAGGTTGGATGTGTACAGCAATCTGATTGGTTCCTGGATGTAGAACTATAGGCCTAGGCCCCTGGTTCCACTACTACCAGTGGCTGCCACAGAACTAGGTGGTGAGAGCCCTTCCTGTCCCCTAGACTGTGTCCTCCAAAATCTGCACGCAGTGGTTCAAAGAAAGCTTCCTGGGGGCACGACAGTGTGGTCTCTATCCGCATGGGGGCTGAGTTCTGTGGTCTCTAGAGCAGCTACAGGGGGAGAAGGGAAACTAAGGGGGGTCTGGTCCGTGGTGAAAACGGTCCTATCCCCAACCACAGTGAACAGTAGAGGTCTCAGCACAGTTCTGTTTCTCTGGAGGAAGGATTTGGACTGCAGGAAAGACCCAGGACAGTCAGTGGAAGTCACCAAAGCTCAGAGACTCTAGGTCTCTAACTGTAGTGTGAACCCGGAGTGTGGGGAGTGAGCATCTCACACTACTCTGGGCAGATGACTACACACACAATGCAGAATACCTTGGGTCCCGGCCTGTGCTGGCTCCTTGTCACTTGAGGGCGCTCTGGAGGGAAGCTGTATAAACAGATACTTATAAACCAGTTACATGGGGGCTGAGGTGAATCCTTTGAGCCCAGGAATTCCAGGTTATTCTGAGCAACATCTCAAACCAACAAAATGTACAAAGAGCAAGTGGGGATGCCTCGCCTTTAATGGTGGTGGTGGTGGTGGGGGAGATGTAGGAGGCAGACAAGGTGAGATGGGGAGACAGGGACCTCCTGTCCCTGAGGCCAAGTGAGACCTGTCAACTGTGTCTGTTCCTGCCTAAACCCCAGAGCTGGCCTGTCCACTTCCTGGCATTCTAGGGAACCCTCCCTGCCCAGGGGTCACACAGTCCTAGCTACACAGTGTGGTTTGTAATGAAGTACCCTGCACCTGCTTTTAAGAACCAGTTGTTGGGATAGATGTGGCGTCTGCCTGTAGTCCAAGCACTTAGGAGATGAAGACAAGAGTTCGAGCTCAGCTTCAACTACATGGCAAATTTGAGGCCACCAATGGTTACCTGAGATCCCATCTAACCAGCAACGCTAACTTCCCACTCCCCGCAAAATTTTTAGGAATTTTGCAGAGGCTGCCATTGTGCTGGTAATTGGAAGCTGAAATCTGACTGGCCACGGTGGGGCTTCTTGCCCCACAATCGGCCATACTATAAATAAAGGGCTCCCTCCCAGCTCAGTTAAATGGTTTGACATTTACCGGCATGTGTGAAGTTGTGTGAACTGAGAAACCCCAAGAACTAGACCCCTACTTGATTCTTCTCCGTTCTTGGCAAAGTACAATACAGAAGACAGGAGGCTTAAAAGCAGGGTTGACCTGGGGGTCTGAAGAGGGATCCCTGACAGAAACTTCCGGGAGACAGTAGTCAGAAATAACTGGCCTTTGCATAGGTGAGGAACGCTTCCCCGGCCAGGCCCTGACCTCTCATCATGCGGAGGAGCACAGCCCGACAGGCGGCACGATCTTTGATATAAGTTATGGCTTCTACCCGGCTTCCAGATGGATCTGAAACCAGTCCTCAAGTGTTTGTCTCTTGGTCTTAGGGTCTTCCTTTGAGCCCAGTCCACTGGAGTGCCAATTCCATCCCAAGCAACGATGGGGACTCAGCGCTGCTCACTTACGAGATCCCACTCCTACTTCAGGTAGCTAGCCTGGATTCTGCTGTGTCTTCTCTGGGCTTGTGCCTCCCTTGGATTTATGAGGCTGAAACAGCCTTCCTGAACCCCAACCTTGGCAGGAATGGCAGCTGTCTGCATGGGAGTCAGGTGTCAATGCCTTCCTTAAAGTATGATTTCCCGACTCACACAGATAAATGATCGGGGACTTTGGGGTCCACAGGATGAGTATTCTGAGCTGTTGCCAAATGAGAATCGCTGACCATCCGCATCGGAGGACATGGGCCCATTCACGTGAACACGAGCACGCCTGAGGGCTCCGACCTATAGTCTAATGTCCTTAGTCTGGTTCCCAGCTGCAGTGGACTCTGTCCGTCTTGAGTCATCACTGCTGATCGACACATCTTTCCTGGCTGTGTCAGTTCTGTGAGACCTGTGCAGGCCCAGCCTGCGACGAGCCTGGGGAGCCTGGGGACGGGGGATGGGTTCTGTGGGTGGCTTGGCATCTCGGGCAAAACGGACAAGTCTCTGCCCTGCCAGGAAGTAGAGCACAGGGTCAAGGCAACTGTTGGCGCTGGCCAATGGCCGGGTGATCTTGTATGCCATGTTGATGGCATTGAGGGTGTGGCAACTGAGGTCAAGCGATCGGAAGGAGTAGTAGAGGGTGCGGGTGACATGGAAAGGCAGGAAGCAGAGGGCAAAGACGGCCAGCACCAGGGCAATGGTGCGCACAGATTTGCGCTTGGCCCGAGGCAGACCTGTGGTCCCATAAGCCGGTTTGAGCAGCCGCCGCGCCATGAGTACATAACAGACAAGGATGACGGAAAAGGGCACAGCGAAGAGCAGACTCAACATGACGGAGCTGTAGGCCACGAAATGGCTGAAGAGCTCTCGGGCCGAGGTGTCGTGGCAGGTGATGCGGGTCCCCCGTACACTGGTGGTGACAAAGTAGAGCACCGGGGCCTGGCAGGCCAGCACCAGAATCCACACCGCCGCAGCCACACGGCGGGCATAGCGGGCGCGGCCCCAGCGCAAGGAGTGCAGAGGGCGCAAGACACCCAGGCACCGGTGCACACTGATGCAGGTGAGAAAGAGGATGCTGCAGTAGAGATTGGTGTAGAAGAGGAACCGCACCAGCTTGCAGAGCACTGTGCTGAACGGCCAGTGGTCCCCCTTGGCATAGTAATAAACCAGCAGCGGCAGAGAGGCTGCGTAAAGAGAGTCAGAAACCGCCAGGTGGAACATGTACGTGGTGGAGGCGTTCCAGGTCTTGAGGCGGCACAGGAAGACGTAAAGAGCCACAACGTTCAGGCACAACCCGAGCACACACACCACGCCGTAGGACATGGGCAGCAGCACGTACTTGAAGTCCTCGTTGAAGCGGCACTTGTAGCCCAGTTCATCCCCCTCCCAGGTGCCATTGATGGTGCTGTTCCAGGAGTCCACGTCTGCTGCCATGGTCCTGAAGGAAAGGGAGGTGTGAAGAGGAAGCCATCAGGACTGGTGCTCAAGGGACCCGCACCCCCACACACCTCTTTAAGATTTGCCTACGGCAAGAGGTATAGCTTGTAACAAAACACTTGCTCAGCATGCAGGAGGCACACTCTTGTAATCCTAACTCTTGGGGAGAAAGAGGCAGAATTGTCAGTAAGACCTGCTTGGGCCACATAGTCAGTCAAAGGTCAGCCTGGGCTCCATAGTAAGACCCTGTCTCAAAACAAACAAAACAACAACAAAAAGATCATCTACAAAACAAAACAAAACAAAAAAACCTCACTTGTTTACCCAATTCAAAACTTTTTTTTTCCAATTCAAAAGTTTTATTGTCATGTGATCTGCATCTCTCCTCGGAAACTTGTGAGATCCATGAAAATCAACATCACACAATTCTAACATCATGACAGGTTGAACAAAGTCCAAGGGTTGATCTCTCGCCCATCAGCCTGTTGTTGTAAGTGAAGCACTATTGGGGCACAGCCACACCTGTGTCATCAAGACCATGTGGTCTTTAAAGTCTAAAATATTTACTCTAGAACCTGCCGACCTTGATCTAAATCCCTGAACCACAGAGGTCAAGACCGAGAACTCAGAAGCGAGGGACCGCTTCTGAGTTCAAAAAGTTCGTTGAAAACAAGTCAAGCTTTCATAATTAATAAAAAGACTCCCTGTCATTCTTCGGGAGCTGGCAGTCTAAAGGAAGTCCGGCTATACAGCGGGGTATAATTTCAGATTATCGGCCTTCCGCTGTACTCCAGTCTCCAGTGCCACTGCCCACTGCGGCTTCTCCGGCCTGGGCATCTAGCAAGCCTGGAGCCCTCATGGACTTTCAAGCTCAGTCTCTATTCTCTGTGAGCTGGAAAATCTGCAACGGTCTCCAGTTTCTTGTTAATTTCCTTTTTAGATCTTTAATTGTGTACGTGTGTGTGTGACTGCCTTGCCTGTGTGTACATCTATGCACCAAGTATATGTGTGTGTGAATGCCTTGCCTGTGTGTACATCTGTGCACCAAGTATGTGTCTGATGCCTGCAGAGGTCCGAACAGTCAGTGGAACTGAAACTACGGAGCTGCTCTATGGGTGCTGGGGACCCCTGTCTTCTGCAGGAGCAACCACGGAGACATGTCTCCAGCCCTTTGTTCAACTTCTTTTTTCTTTTCATATTTTTAAGACAGGGTTTCTCAATGAAACCCTGGATGCCCTGGAGCTCGCTCTGTAGACCAGGCTGGCTTCTGACTCAGAGAGATCCGCCTGCCTCCGCCTCCCCCACTACCTTGAGCCCCAGTACTAGAATTGAAGATTCATACCAATACCACCTGGCCTCAACGTTTTTTTAAAAAGGTGTTACTATTGTATTCTGGGACGTTTAACATCTGCATACAGCAATTCTGTTCTCCACCTTGAGGAGATGTCCAGATGGAGAGTGACCTTCCCGAAGAGTCCTCGAAAGTCAGGGGAGGTTCCCTTGGCGGAGCCTCCCCTGGCACCTTTGGTACGGCATGTCTTTCCACCCTGTCTGTGTCCGCTACTTTATCCCCACGTTACTCACAAGGCCTGAGCAGCCACTGGGCAATGAATGCCTGGAGGGCTGATGGCCACTTTCCTCCTCTCTGCACGCACCTTGTGACCAGTGAGAGCTCTTTCAGACTAATGTGAGGAGCCCTCATCTGCCATCCCAATACTCGGGAGGCTGAGGCAGGGGCAGCAGGGTTTGAGAGAGCCTGGGCTGCATAGAAGGACTTTCCCAGAACAAGCGGTGAGGGGCTGGTGCGATGACCCAGTGGGTAAAGGCACTTGCTGCCAAGACTGAGGTCAATCTGAGGACCCCACACAGTAGAAGAGACTCCACGTGGTCCTCTGATCTTCACATGGGCTCTCTGCACATTGGCAGACACACAACATAAATAGCTGACATCACAAATATGAAGTATGTGCATGAAAAAGGAAATAACAGCTCTGCCTCGGCTAGAACAGAAAGGTTTTGTCCGAAGGCAAGACTTGACACAGTCCATTGTGGTGAGCGTGGACAATTGGCTTCCTTCACCTTCATTTCCCTGGAATAATAACGTTGTTTGGCTACAGAGAACAAGATTGAATAACTAAATCTTATCTTATTGAGCAGATTCACAATAAATAAAAAACCTTTTATGTATCTATTTATTTTATGTATATGAATGTTTTGCCTGTATGTATGTACATGTAACATGTGTGCACCTAGTACCTGCAGAGATCAGAAGGTGATCAGAATCCCTGAAGCTGGACTTAGGGATGGTGGTGAGCCATCATGGAGGTGCTGGGTCCTCTGTAAGAATACTGCTAAGCTACCTCTCCAACTTCAAGAAATAGTAATTTTAACAACAACAAAATGTTTTTTTAAACCATAGTAGTCCTCCCTTAGAGGCACTTTATGGAATTATTTTCTCGTTTTTCCATAATAATTCTACATTCTCTCTGTTTAAAGCAAAGCAAAACAAAATGACAATACCAACACAGCTCTCAGCTGCAGGCAGGGAGCAGTGTCCTGGACTGAAGGACCACAGCAGACTGAGCAAGCATCCCAGGTAAGGAGCCCTCCTCCCTCTTAGGAGTCAAATCCCCAACCTTGGGGAATGGTGGGTCCCAGCCTCCCCTCCTCTGCTGTCCCCTCTGCACCTCTGTCCCTGCCCGCTGGTCTCCACTGAGAGTCACAGAAGCCCTCCCCTTCCCATCTCTCTGATTTCCTGCTCTTCCCTGCTGGTGGAATCTCTGACACTTAGAGGCAGGGTGTGAACTTCCTCGTCCCCAGAACCACAGAGCTCACTTTCCACCTGTCTTAAGACATCCTGGCCTTTGCCTCCAGGCCAGCTGAGAACTCTATCACAATGGCCCTGGTCCAGACTAACCCTGCCCATCCTTTCCCTCCCTAGGCCAACCCACTAATCTGTAAAGCCCATTTGCTCGTTCCCAGCCCTCTCCTTCAGCACCAATTCCTGATCTCTGCTCCTGAAACCTCACCTCAGCTCCATGAAGACTGCTCTGTCTGACTTGGCCACTGGCCCCTCCACTGGCTGGCTCTGCTGCTATGCCCGGTTCTGGCTGGCGGTGTCCCAGGAACTCCCAGTTTCATGGAGAAGTGAGCCCTAGAGAGTCCATCCAGGCCTCTTCACCCTCATTCACACTGTACTGACAGCCTCAGAAACCTTTCCAGAATGATCCTTTAAAGACTAGACTTGTCCCACCCATTTCTCCAGCCTTAAGGTACTTGTCTTTCCACCCCCGCCCCAACACGTTTCTTTGAAGCCTAGATTCACGTGGTGATTTTCTCTGTACCTATAGCCCAGCAAGAGGCCTGACCTGCAAGCACTTGTTGCAAGAAAGGATGAATGAATGGAATGAATGAATGAATGAATGAATGAATAGGAAACGATGCCTTAGAGGCTGTGGGAACCCAGAGGAGTTGAGCCCACAAGTCACGAGGCTCAGCCAAATCCTTCTCCTGCCTGAGAGGGATCCTTCGACCACCTCTTTTGTTCAACACTGACAGGACCCAGACGACCCTGCCCTGCCCTGCCCTGCCCTTTGATGCTGTAGCCAGGGAAACAGTCTGGGATTTTGGTCAGGTGCCTGAGGCAACCCCATATTTTCCCTGATCCACCTCTGGCTCAGTCTAATCAGTTCCACAGCATGCAGCCCCCTCTGCTACCTTCCTATTCAGTGGGAATCTTATCAGGTTTAAGCAGCTCCTGCAAGGCGACATTCAGTACCTGGTAAATACCTACCTAGAGGTTAAGCTCTCTGTTTTGGTTATACTGGAAGGAACTGGAACCCTAGGCTTGACACTGAGAGTTGTCTGGCTGCAGAACCTGGGATAAAGGAACAGAACACAGTCCCTGCCTCGGATCCCACTGATGCAAGCAGAATCCAGTGCACACACATACAAAATACCCAGCCTCCCAGACCTGGCTGGACCTGATCAGTCTTGCTCTTGGTGCAGTGAGGATGCTCGGTGTGGGCTCCAGTTTTTCACTCATAAATGCTCAGGCCTGGACCAGCTGCTGGGACCGAAGCAGGAAACAGGAAGAACAGGTTCCTGGACAGGGGCTGTGCCCTGCCTCCAGCATTTTTCAGGGCCAGCAGCTGCCTGGAGGGCTCCTGTAGACACCCAGAGACAAAAAACAAATGTAGGTTCAGAATCTGTCAGTCCGGCCATGTTTTCTCTCTCTCTCTCTCTCTCTCTCTCTCTCTTCTCTTCTCTCCTCCCTCTTCCCTTCCCACTAAATAAATATCCAACCTCACTCTGCATGGTGTGCCTATCCATGTCTCTGTCTCTTGCCCTCTGTGTGGCTCCCTGCCCAGGTCCAGCTACCTTAAGAGACCTACGGCGCAGTCTGTGGCAATGCCCATCTGTCTGTCTCTCCTTGTGGCCTGCTGCAGCCACTAGGGGAACTGTGCCATCCCTGCCTGGGACTGGCTGCTCCCGGGACAAGCCGCCCCTGGGAGACCTGCAGTATCTCTGCCACTGCAGCCTCTGGGGATCCTGCAGCATTTTTTTTTTTTTGTTTAATCCATTACACTGAGGCCCCAAAGAAGCCAAGAGGAGACTCAGTGTGTTTGTCCTGGTCACACACCCTGTTATCCCCTGCTAGCTCATATGCTCCAGGAATGGGCTGTTCACCGCCTCCTAGGGCACCCCTTTCACAGGAAGTTCTCCCCGGTATCTTCAGAGCCCAGCCAGCCTTCCATTGGCTCTGATTCTGCACTTCAACCCCACAGCAGGAAACAATCAATACCTTCGTGGCCCAGCATCACAGCATAGCACTGCCAACATACCTTTGCCCAGGATAAGTGTCTGACTAGAGTGCCCTCTCTTCACTCCACATCCTGTGGAGTGGACATTCCTCCACAGGTATTGCAAATACACATGCCCAACACTCTTGAACACACAGGTGCAAATGCATGTAGACACCCAGGGCACACACTTTCACATCCACATGCACGGAGCATACCGACATGGTCTAGATGGGGCCTGGTACAGCCTTTGGAGCTACCTGAGCTGAATGCCCATTTAACGGAGAAGAAACTCAAGAAGAGAGCTGAGCTGTGAGCCCTCATATGCAGCACACAGGGAATTTGCTCGAGAGTGGATATACCTACCTGGGAGAAGGACCCCTCTGTGTGGACAGGTCCCAGCACCCACCAGGAACCTCCTGAATAATTTTTTTTTTACTTTATTTGGAGCCTGTCCTAGAACTCACTCTGTAGACCAGGCTGGCCTCGAACTCATAGAGATCTGCCTGTCTCTGCCTCCCGAGTGCTGGAATTAAAGGTGTGCATCACCACTGTCCAGACTAAATTTTTTCTCTTGAGAAAGAATGCTATACATCTCAGGCTGACTTCAGACTCACTGTATAGCTGAGGATGAGCCTGACTTTCTGATTCTTCTGTCCTTAGTTTCCAAGCGCTGGGTTTATAGACGTCACCCACCACACTCTGTCTGTGTGGAGCTGGGGCTAGAGAACCCAGGGCCTCAAGCTCCCACGTGAGCCACACACACCCTTTTTCTTTGGTCCTAAAGGTTGAATCCAGAGCCCGAAGCATGCTAGGCTAGAGCTCTACTGCTGAGCTATGCTTCCAGCTCCTCTCCCAACCCAGCTCCTGAATATCTTTTTCCATCTGCACTTTCTCAACAGTGGGGAGTGGGGCCCCCAAGCTGGAGGTGCAGTGTAAAGATGGGAGAGCAGGAGGGGATGGGTGGCTGCAGGATAGAGGACCAAGACAGGGCCTGGGAAGTGCCTCTCCGCACTGATGAGTTGATGATGCGCCTAGCCTGGTATTTTAGGCTGACATGGGCCAGAGCATGGTTGCTAACTGGCAGTCTGTTGAAGAGTCTGGTGGCAAAATAAAAGAGTTCCCCTTTGTGCCCTGTCCTCCGGAGGTGCCTGACCAACCAGCTAAGGCAGAGCACACCGCTTTCTGAAAGGGCCTCTGCCATCCTCCTAGGTTCCCGTCTCTCAATATTCCAACCCCATCTCATGCCCATCACTCACCAAGCTCAGCCAGCGGAGTTCCCTAGACGTGCCCTTTGCATTGAATAGAGACACAGGAATAAGCTTTCCCTCGGAACCACCGTCCTCTCTGCTTCAGTCCTCGCCTGCTCAACCTTAACTCTTTAGTCACACTGTCTTCTTGATGCCCTACCTTTAGCCACGTGCCCTTGAGTTAAAATCTTTCCATAGCTCCCACTGCTGTTAGGTTAACATACAAGGCCTTGCCCTTAAGGTCCTAGCTGAACTGGTCCCTGTCATCACTAGAAAACCTTCCATCTGCCCCTCTCCCCCATCCTTCTGTCTCAGTACGACTGAAGCAGTTGCATGGTTCTATCTCACTCAGCGATAGCTCCCTGTTTTCTACCATCAGTCTAGTGGGGAGAGCTGAGCATTCTCTGTACCCATTTTTGTTAGGTGGCTTCATATTTAATTTGAAGGTTTCAGCAGGCTAAAATAACCTCCTTAGAGTCACAACACTAGCAAACAGCACAGAGCTCTGCTGTGCCCTGACCGCTAGCTCCTACCCTACCCTACAATGCCCAGATGCCATCCCCAGCAAAGCTCTGCCTCTTTGTTCCATCTCCAGAAGAGGAGGTCTGACAACTCCTACCTGGTTCTTTCTCACTAGTCCCAGGCTAGTAAGTCAAGAGGAGGAAGCAGAGCTGGTCCTAGGCTGGCAGCAGACTTTCCTGGGTGGTTGGACAACATTCCAGTCCCTCTACTTGGGTGGCTCTGGAATGCGCCACGTGCCAGGCTGGTGGACCCTGTCCAGCTTCGCAGGGGAGAGTGTCTTATCACGGCCCCAGAGAACTGTTACCTACCTGCCTTTGTCAGAAAGAAATTTTGAGAGGGGAACTGAGGACCTGGAGTTAGAACGGCATCAAGAGGGAAGTGAGCGCACAGGGTGGGTGGGGAATCTTGTTCTGCCCTTGCCAGCTGTCAGATGGGCAGAGCTGCCAATCCCATAGCCCGCTTGTCAATCTCTTTTTGACAGAACAGAACTTGCTTGTGAGCAAAACGTTCACACAGAGACACACACACAGAGACACACACAGACACACACACAGACACACACACACACTACAGAATAATAAGAGAGGAGTTTGCCATGCAGGGTAGATACAGGGGGATGGGAGCACCCCCAAAGACAAGAGAGGCAAGTAGCCCTGCAGGAATGAGCCAGGCTGACCTAAGATCAGTACCTCACACTCCCAGACCCATCCTCAGGAGAAGGAGGTCCAGAGCCCGCAGCAATCCACTGCACAGCACACCAACACTGCGTTCTTAGGTTTGTCCTCGGTTGCTCTGAGATTACAGTGTCTTCGCTGATCTCCGGATGTTTGTTATCAAGGTCAGGGGTCAGGGAGACACACCCAGAAACAGACAGTAACAACTCAAGCCGCTCAGGCCTGAAGGAAGCCGAGGAGGCCCTGCTGGGAAAGGAGGCAGCAGTAGTGGGGAGGGAGGCCCCTCCTCCGGAAGGTGTCCTGGAGAAGAGGCACCTGACTTGTGGTTAGAAAGATGCAGTGGTGTTAGGTGGGTGGAGGGAGAGTGAGCACAAATCTGGGCAAGATGACCTGAACTCGAAGCAACCTGCGGTTTGAGCATAGTACAGGCAATCTAAGCAGCACAGGGTTAGGAACCTAGAAGTCATTGCCTGTCTGTCCCTTTCCAAACATCCTCCACAGGGTTAGAGGACAGCAATTCCCCCAGCTGTGCCTGGTGTATTACACCAGGCCTGGTCTGGGGAACAGCTCAGGGGTGACCTCTGATGGTATCAGGTGGTGAGTCTGTGGTGTAAGACCTCCACAGAGCACAAAACAGAGACTCCAAGGAGAAAGGGCCTACCTAGCCAAGGCAGGACTCCAAATCATGGATTTTACCTGACCCAGCTCTGCCGAGTGCAACACAGGGCTTCCTTCAGAGATGGGCTAAATGGGCTCAGAACCACAAGAACCCAGACTCCACCCCAGCCAAGCACACCTGAGTGCCTCCAACAAGACCCAACTTGGAGCCTGTTATGCTGTGCAGTCTGGGTCAAGTTATACCCAGTCCCCGAGTGTGAGTTCTTTACTGGTCAAACTGGAAGAGTCACAGGTCCATGAGAGTAGCTCATGAAGAATGATCAAGACCAGGGAGCAGTGGGGGTGGGGCCCACGGGGAGAAGATATGCACAGTCCGGGGTTGCAGGCACTATCTTCCCATCATGGCAGGAAAATGCTGAATTCTGGGGTAGTACAACACTTCTCATCAGGAGGTCTGCTCTGGGTCCCCAGCAGAGAGACAGAGGTCATGGTCCAAGCTATGACTAGGGAGGGGCAGGAAGCATCCAGCTTGAGATGGGAGAACCCAGGTTCATATCACAGGATGCACAGAAGGTGACGAGACAGACCCTCCTCCGGGCAGTGACTCTCTGAGTCTAATTCCAAGAGTGCCTGAATCCCATGCTGTTCCTCCAGTTCACCTGCCGAAGCAGGGGCTATGTTCAAAGCTCTGCTTCTTGTGGCTCCAAAAAGCCTTGGCTGAGAATCTCAGAACCCGAGGAGTTTGTGCTCAGAGTAACACAACAGAAACTCACAAGCCACAAAGCTCTAGCAAACTCAAAAGCCAGTGTCTGCAAACGCAGAGCTTCAGAGGAGGAATTCTGCCAGGCCCTCTGAGGAGTACACAGGGATGGACAGGTTATCTTAGGAGATACAACCATATCCAAAGGGAACACAGGGACTAGGAACTCAGGGTCACAGAGACTGGAGCAACCTGTATCCTGGGGAAGTGGTTAGCGGAAGTTTCCCCAAGGAGCTGGCCTTAATAGATAACTTGGGGTTGTCAAAGAGACAGAGATGGGGAGGGAGAAAGCCCAAGCCAAGACTCAGAGGGTGAGGGTACAGGCTGTTGAAGAAGTGCCAGGAGATCCTGTGTGGTGGCATGGAATGTGTGGGGGCCAAGAAATTCATACGAAAGGGCTCAAATGCCAAGCTGAGAGCTTTTTCTCCCGCTTAAAAGGGAGGGCATTTTCAGAGCTGACCCTTGCAAAGATGGCACCATTGGAAGAAGCACTCAGCACCAAGGAGTCTGGAGGGTGGGTGACCAGGGGAGAGAATCTGGGTCCGGGACTCCCTGTGAGCTTCCTTCCTAACCCAGGCCCAGGCCTGGGCAAGTCTCTTACAAATTGAACTCCCCAGGAAGCTTTATCCATACAAGCTGGAGGGAGGCCCAGTGCCTCGACCTCTCCCGCAGTAACGGTGACAGAACGCGAAAATGCAGGACTGAGGTGGGCCCAGCCAGTCTAGGGTGCCATTGTTTCCACCACAAATCCTCCGCTTGTTCTATGCAAGACTGAAGCAGGCCTCTGGGTCTGGGCGGTAGGGCTATGAAGGAGCCTCTCTCTCAGACCCAGAAGGGCTGGGGTATAGCTCAGTTGGTAAAATGCTTACCTAGAATGCAAGAAATTTTTGGTTTGATTGCCAGCACCAAATAAAACAAGTACATACCTACAAGTCCAGCATTCAAAAGGTGGAGGCAGGAGGATTAGAAGTTAATGCCATTCTACTAATGAATTCAAGACCAGTCTAGGTACATAAGTCTCAGAGGGTGGAGGCGGGAACCCACTATGGTGGCTCTTCACGAAACAAGAAGTTTCTCTTCTGAATATCCACTGTACCTGTTCACTCATTTCCAAAATACTTCCTGGCACGTGCCCTCTGCCCTATCCAGTGAGAAGGCAGCGATGGCCCAGCTTCACAACACAGTCAACTGAAGTCTCTAGAGATTAAGGAGGGTTCTGAGCCAGGTTCTTCCCATCAGGCCCCACTGGTGGCTTAGGAACCTAAGGGCATCTCAGGCACAGACAGGCTCAGGGAAGGCAGGTAGGGGACAGAGGAGATGCCATTGGAGGGCACTTCCTACTCAGCAAGTCAGCAAGATCCTGTAAGCAGACTGGGAAAACGGGGGCTATCCAGAAACAGCTGGGCAATTGGGGCTTCAGAGTTAGGTTACCGGCAAACCTCTGTGAGTTCGAGGTTAGTCTGCTCCACATAGTGAGTTCCAGGCTAGCCAGGACTACAAAGTGAGAACCTCATCCTGAAGCTTTGGTCCTAGAGCGGAGGCCTCAGTGGGAGGGGGGGGCAGGTAGGCAGGAAGCCCAGTTTTTATCTGCCTTTGTGACCTTGGACAAGACATTCTCTAGTTTTCTCATCTACAAAATAAAGGTTCCTTTCTCCTGTAGCAAAATAAAATGAGGAACTTTTGTAAACTGTAACAACAATGCACCAACATTCCAATAAATAGCATAAGCACTTATAAATAAAAGGAAAGAAATTAGAGTCATGAAATTCAAGATCTGGTGTCACCCACGAAGCCTTGGTGATGTCCTCACACGTTCAGCTGGTTCATGGGGGTGTGGGCAAGAAGGCACCAGAAAGTCACAACCTCAGTCTGCATGCTGGGCAGCCACTCCTGAGGCCCACACCTGTATGCAGCCTTCCCATCTCCTCAAAACCCAGGAGAACCCCAAGCACAGAGAAGACGGGCAGACCTCTATGGCAGGGCTTGCCCCACCTCTCATGCAGGGTGGTGCCTGCACTGACCGCTCTTTTAGAGGCTGCCTGCTCACAGAATCCCCTTCCTCACACCCCACCCACAGGTAACTGACACCTTCTTGGAGCCCCAACCTGATCTTCAAAAGCCATTATTCCAAACTTGATCCAAAACAGGGCTGCTGATCCAGGGACTCTGGGGATGCCTTTCTGAGAACAGCTGACACCTAGCTCTATAAATCCCCAAACCAGAAAAGCTGGTTCCCAGCAGGATCTACACTTGGGTCTAGCTCCTGGAGATCAGTCACACACACACACACACACACACACACACACACACACACACACACACACACACACACACTAGCCCTAATGAGGTGGGCGCTATCTTCTGCCAGACCCTTCTAGCACCACCTGCCAGATTAAAAATTTCCAGACAGAGCCGGGCGATGGTGGCGCACGCCTTTAATCCCAGCACTCGGGAGGCAGAGGCAGGCTGATTTCTGTGAGTTCGAGGCCAGTATGGTCTACAAGAGCTAGTTCCAGAACAGGCTACAAAGCAACCACAGAGAAACCCTGTCTCGAAAAACAAAACAAAAAAGTTTCCAGACAGATTAAAGTCTTAGCTGTCCTTACGTGAAACTGCACCACCTCCACCCCTCCCACCGCCGCCGACACCGTCTTCCCGATCTCACCTCCCTGGACTCCTGCAGCGGGCCACCCAAAGTGACTCTGGGGGGGGGGGGGCGGGAGAGGAAGGAATGCAAATACAAGACCTCTCAGGACTCCCGGGTCTCTGTCCACAGATTTACGCCTCAGGGGTGCACACAGACTAATTCAAGTTCGGACACTCACTTCCCAGGGGTGTGCGCATTCATCCACTAACACACAGATTACCCCAGTACGTTGGTAAACACACCAGGCTGTCACTCACCAAGATCCAGAGGAGACAAAGTTCAATAGCGTGCCGGCAGCTCGGCCGGCTCTCACCATCCAGTTTTGTTCAGTATCGGGGCTGGGAGCCAGGGCCCACGGGACAGAGTCACGTAATGGGCTCTCCTGTCCGGCGCTGAGTCGACAGTAGTGCCAGTTCCCAGGCCGCACCCGGCGGCGACCTCTCCGGCTTCCGTTCCCCTCTAGGCTGCCCACCTCACCTCCGCGATGCGCTGGTCCCCTCCAAAAGCCACAGTCGCGATTCCTTGGTCCCCGAGTCCCAAGCCCAGCCGCGCGGGGGCCCACGTGCCTAGGAGAGCAGCGGTCCCCGCCCCACCCCGCCTTGCTCCGTACCCCACGGCCCGGCAGCAAGCCGGAGGGCGGGGCGGACGCAGGAGCAGTCCCGGACAGATACCTCCGGTCTGTCACCCGCTTGGGACGCGGCCTGATTGTCTCTGCGAGGTCAGCATGTCCGCAACTGGTGTTGAGCAGGGAAGGCGGGAGGCGACCATCCTGGCTGGGAAGAGTCCACCTGCCTCGTTCCTCATATCAGAGGGGAGGTTTTCAGCGACGCCCAAGTTTTAGAAGGTTTGCTTGGTGTTGGCGTGGCTCCTGTTGCTCCCCAGTCCACCGGTGGACCTTTACACTAACCCGCAGCCTCCCCTTCGCTGCCGCCCTAGTCCATCTCACTTCCGTACGGATCAGCTCCGGACTGCCGGTACCGGGAAGGGTCTTTACCCCTTTTACCTCCTCCATCTGCTTTCTCTCTCACTTCACCTCACCAACAGGTCCCTTAAGTCCCTGTTCAGGTTGTTCTCTCATCTTGAACTGCCTCTCTGCTCTGCAGACCTTCCTTAGCCCCTCTCCTAGTTTGAGCACAAAAGAGCAAAGACCACACCACCCATCTCTCTCTGCTGTCCTGTGAATGGATGGATGCAAGAGGGTTGCACCGTCCCATTGCTGACCCGGGAATCTGGAACGCAGCTCCAGGTCAGCTTTAGAGCAGAGAGTCCCGCTCAAGGACTCATTTTCTGTGAACCGGAGCCGGCACTTCTCATGACCCTGCTTCCACTGTCCACCCGGGGAGTATTCAGATGCCCAGATGGGTGGCCAAGTTTAGAGCAGGTGTTTCCTATGGCCAGGGAGCTTGCTCTCTGCCCCGGGGCTGTAGGCCTTGTAAACTGTGCAGGCAGCTTCTAGAGACCTAGATTTCTCTACAGCCGCACCTTTAGGGTCCTAGCGTGAGGGAGTCTTCCTGGTTATGGTTATGGAAGCCCCAGCTGATTTCCTTTTCCTGGTCTCCCTTCTGAGCCACTAGACCTTCCCCTGGGAGCCAGGATCGAGACCAGACTCTAGGAGACCCCAGTGACCAGTGTTGGACTTCGTACTTGCTGTCTTCCAATTCCTGACTTTACAACCAAAGAAACGACATTCCTGAGCTACACAACATCTGAGTTTTCATGACAGGTGACCTAGTAATGTCTGAAGAACGGATGAAAGGTTCCGAAGGACCTCACAGCCTGTGCTCAATCCCAGGCTTCCTTCAACTTTTCTACCACTGCGTTCTGAGTCAGTCCATCTCTTTCTCTGTTGTTTTTTTTTTGTTTGTTTGTTTGTTTTGTTTTTGTTTAGCTAGGATCGCCCTGTGTAAGCCAGGCTGGTCTCGAACTCACAGCAGCCCTCCTGTCTCACCTCTTGAGTGCTACCATGCTTGGCTCTCAGTCTGCTTTTCTGCACTGTGCAATAGTCCTCAGTCGCTCCTCTGACACTGCCTTTGCTTAGGGTCTTACTCATCATCTGAGCTTCCTTGTTCAGAGGAGTGAGTATCCCTTCTCAGAAGAGCCTGGAAGGCTAGGTTCCCTGCCGCTTTCCTATGTCAGGTTTTGTGGATCCATGTGTAGCAGCTTCCCCATCGCCCCCGCACTGCTCCCCTCCCCCATTGCCCAGCACTGCCTCCTCCCCCATCGCCCCCGCACTGCTCCCATCCCCCATCTCCCAGCACTGGCTCCCCTCCCCCATCATCGCCCAGNCCCCCCCCCCCCCCCCCCCCCCCCCCCCCCCCCCCCCCCCCCCCCCCCCCCCCCCCCCCCCCCCCCCCCCCCCCCCCCCCCCCCCCCCCCCCCCCCCCCCCCCCCCCCCGCCACCCAGCACCGCTCCTCTTGCCATCTTGACTCCAACTTGAGCACCTTTGCTTTCATATTTTGATTTATTCACAACCTGAGATTTAATGACTGAAAGAACTTAGAACCTGTATTGATCCAGTCAGGAAACACACGAAGGCTAGCACAGCACTGAGGGCGGCTCCCTGAACTTCGCAGCCTAGGCAGGCTAATGGTAAAGTCCAGGCACTGTGATGATCCCTGTGGGGTGTGAGGAAGCCACAGGGGCAGCTGCATTAGCAGCAGCAGTTCAGGAGGGGACTGGCAAAGCCCCCACCCTGGCTCCCTGAGCCCACCTCGCATTAGAAGGCTTCCTGTCTCTCCAGCCCTGAGCAAGCATTGCCTCCTGGCAGGCATCCTTCCCTCATCTCCCCTGAGAAGGTTTTCTCCCTGAGAATCCACAATTGCCTGGCCTAGCCTCCAATGGTGCTGTTTCCCGTTGCTGACACTTCCTGCTTCAGACTCGGGGGTTGGGGGGGCTTCCACTGCCTTCAAGGCAGCCCAGCTCCCGGCCTCCACTCCAGGCCTCCCCTCCAACCTGTACTTAGTCAGATCCTACAGTCCTGAACCCTTACTCACCTCCTGCGGGTGCTGGCCACTCCCTCTGCCCTTTGTGTCTCTCTGGGTTGGGTGTCTTTCCAATTGACCTCCCCCATGCCACACCTCTTTGCACACCATCTCTAACCTCCGCCCCCCACCACAGGGATCTTTCTGAAGGTGTGGCACAGTCTGTCACACACACACACACACACACACACACACACACACACACACACACACACACACGGCTGATGTCCCTGTCACATGATCAGTCTCCAGGGCTCTCCATAGTTCACCTTCTTTGAGCTGGCCAGGACACTGTGAATCAGGCATTATCATTCCCATGGTACACTGAGGGAAGCCAAGGCTCACACAAGTGCAGTGTGGACCTAACTCTGGGACTGTATGTGCTGAGGGAAGGCCCTGAAGAGTTCTTGGATCATGGCTGGGCCCTGCTGTTGGGGCCTAATCTGGCAGCTCCCCTGGGCAGATCTGGCCATCCAGTTTGTGTTCCTGGCTCTCAAAGTGTCTGTGCAAACCTAACTGATCTTTTCTATTATCCTCCTTCTTTCTCTCCCTCCTTCCCTCCTTTGGAACTGGGCTCCTCAAGTTTCCCTGACCAGGGCCAAGACTTGAAAGGCAAATGAGTGCTAGTAGGTCTCTGCTGTGGGCACGCCCGGAGGCAGCCCTCCAGAGAGGCAGCTCTGAGACAAAGGCCCCTTCCACCTCCCTCCACAAAAGATCAACTACCTAATTTCTAAGACTTTGTACAAATTGAAAATGTGGGCCCTGTGATAAAAAGTTATTAAGGATTTAAGATGATGAAAAAAATATTAAGTACTGGGCTGGACGTGGTGGCACTTTTCAATCGGGAGGCAGAGGCAGGGGGATCTCTGTGAGCTGGAGGCCAGCCTGGTCTACATAGTAAGAGAGACCTTGTCTCAAAATAAACAGGCACTAATGGTATAGCTCTTACCTAGGAAGCGAGCCCTACCCTCAGGCCTCTCTCTCCTCACTGTCAAATGGGTGAATGGTAGCCATGCAGCCAGGCCAGGTAAGGGAGAGGGAGGGGCGTGAGCAGGAAGTTCAGTGAGCAGCATGGGGACTGAGTAACCGAAGAGTGGTCTTCACGGACATCATTCTTTTGTTTGCTCCTTCTTTTGTTTTGTTTTTTTTCCTTTTTTTTTCTTTTTTTGAGATAGGGTTTCGCTGTATCTTTGGAGCCTGTCCTGGAACTTGCTTTGTAGACCAGGCTGGCCTCGAACTCACAAAGATCTGCCTGCCTCTGCTTCCAAGTGTGCTAGGATTAAAGGCATGCGCCACCACCACCACCTAGCTATGTGGATGAATTCTTGACAAAAGTTTGATCCTTTTTAAAAATTTTATTTCATTTTATGTG